AATAGCTCTGCGGCATATTTGTTGATCTAAAAAAAGCTTTTGATACCGTAAGTACTGCACGTCTATTAAAAAACTTAACGATATCGGTGTTAGAGGTACAGCACTAAACATTTTTAGATTTTATCTTGAAAACAGGCAGCAAGTAGTCCAAAAAATAGGAGAATACACTAGCGACACTGCTTCAATTAGATGTGGCATACCAAAAGGCTCCATATTAGACGTCCACTTTTTATTTTAATTTACATTAACGACATTAGCAATATTTGGGTTAAATGGAAGATTTAACGTTATATGCAGACGATACAAGTATGTTTTACTATGGTGATTCAACAAATTCTATCGTCAAAGATGCACAAAAATGATGTGGTATATTTAAAACAATTGGCTGCAGAGCAACTTACTTACTGTTAATACTGAAAAAACACAATTATATTATCTTTGCACCTAAAAAAATAAGAAAATAAGGGAGTTTTGATCCTGTAAACTATAAATGGTACTGTTGTTAATAGGACAAAAAGTGCAGAATATCTTGGTATTACTTTAGATAGCTGTTTGAGCATGGAAGCCTCATTTAGACAAAATTAAATCTAAATTATCTTCCTTGGTTGGAGTACTACGCGGCAATGGTACGTTGTTTTCCCAAACCAGTTCGATTAATTATTATGAACATAATGGTAAAACTCCCCATATTAGACTACCTAATTGAACTCTGGGGCACTGCAGCACCAACTAATCGCTGCAAATACAAAGACTGCCAAAATAAAATTTAATAAAAGTGCTTTTTCATTTTTTTATGACTATTTGACTCCTACTGAAAAACTGTACCAAGAAACTAAATTTATGTGTATTATATAACAAACATACGTGTATAATACTTCAATTTTAATATACAAAATTATAAACGAATTAATACATACAAATATATCCTTCACAAAGAAATCACATACATTAAAACATTCGCTAAGAAATTCAAATCAAATAAGTTCAATTACAAACCAAGGACTAACTACGGCAAACACAATATAAATGTGATCTCGAAGGCGTTCAAATATTTAATAAATTACCATTAATTTAATAGAAACAAAACCATTTCATAAATTCAAAAAAACTTTTTTTTAAAAAATCATTTTTACCTGTGTTAAACAATATACCTATAATTTAACAAATAAAAGAAAAATAATAATAATAATAAATAAAAAAATATATATATTCTTAAATGAAATACTTATACAACTGAACAAAATATAATCTGTATATTTACTAGAATAATATATAACATTTTATTATTATACTTACTCATTGTTATTACTAAATTCTATCCGTATCTCTTCTAGTAACAAGCTCTTTATATCTTTGTGTTTACCAATTAAGTACGTAAATATTCTAGTTGTAACACCGTTCTACCACAACATTATGTAAAAAATTGATGTTGTTTGACTAAATATAAAATTTTTGTATTAATCCTATTACCTAATGATTGATATTTGATGTTTCTATACCTATAACATTTTTATTTCTGTTTTGTATCAAGTTGTTCACGATGTAAATAATATTCAACTACCTACTTGTAATTTTTCTCATTAAGTGAATGTTATTCTTTTGAGAAATAAATAAAGCATCTTTAAACCGAACATCATCCCCTAAGAGCGTGAAAAGGGGTGGGAGTTTGTATGGGGAATCATTACTTTCTCAAGGGATATAAAACTAGTCATACCCATATTTATATACGAGTATAATAGTCTATTCCACACTGTTTACTAAGCATACAGGAACGAACCCGAGCGAAGCGAGAGTGAGTCGCTAGTTCTAAATAAGAAACTGGACCTATTTAGTTGAGCCCAGATAGACGATAGATAGCGCTGTCGCGTAAAATGCAAAGATTATTCTTGGCAATTTACGTGACAGAATAGTTTTAGGTTTATACCTAAAACTATTTTTCATAAAAATATGTAGTTACACTATGATGTTTAAAAATAGCACCTATGACTACACCTATTAAGTACGACTGTCTGAATCTGAACGACCATTGAGTAATTGGAATGAGCGCCACCTTTTGAATATGAAGTGAGAACTGAATCTATACAGATAAATAAAATTGAAGTGTCTGTTTGTAATGTCAAAATAACAGCGTTTTACTAAATGCATATGAAATTATATACGGTACAGTTTTTTTTTTTAATTATTAGTTAATATTAATAATAGGTTCTTCCATAACATATATATCTAAGATATGGAAATGAATTTTTTTAATGAACTTTACCGATTTCTCATTTTTAACATTAATTGAATTTTTTAGAAATTACATTATATTAGACATTTTAATACATTTCAATCTTTTTTATGTATGTTCGTCTTTAAAAAACATAAAAAATGTAAGTAACCTACAGAAATTTAATTAGTTAATGCTCGTAATCAACGGAAAAGGTTATAACTTCTTGACAACATTAACATTATCGATTATCATCATCATCATATTTATAAGGGTATAATAAAACCATTATCATTAAAATATTTTTTTTTATTATATAGCATCCCCTAAAATAATTTTAAGCATATTTTTAATGTAATTGGCCTAGCGGATATGTACGTATAATTCCATGAATCTTTTACTGTGATCGACTCAGACTAAACGAATGAGATACACTGCACACAGACAATAGAGAGCTGTATGTAGGTAAATCAAACCAACTCACTTTCAGAAAGAAACTATGTCCATCAGATGGACATAGATTAGATTCTAGTAATATATAATTTTCGTTCGCGTCTTCTTATGGGACTCTAGCAGAATGTTTTGTTTCTGTTAGCGCAATAATATCGTGATAATATGTAACGATAAGAAAAAAAAAATATTTACTAGCATTGCCCGAGGCTCCGCCCGCGTTCAGATGACCAAAAACAAAATTCTTAGGTTTTACATATTAGTACTCTTACATTGCAGTTTTTGTATTTTTCTCAGAAATGAGATATTTTCCCAGGGTAAAAAGTATCCTATATGTTGACCCGGATAACCAGCTATCACTATACCAAATTTCATCAAAATCTCTTCAGTAGTTTTTCTGTGATGCGATAACAGACAGACAAAAATTCTTAAAATATAGATTCGGCCTCTGTATCGATAATAATATTTATTTCAATAAAAATATTTAATGTACAGTTCGGCTTAGTTAGAATTTTATTACGAGTATATGTATAGATAGAAGAAGATATATAACACTATTCGAATTTTTATTGCTTTTCTGATGAAGTTTTGAACTTCTCTTAAAAAAAGAAGGCAATTACTTTACTGTGTGCACAACAAGATACAATTTCATATTTCAATGTGAATTGTTTTGAACGTTCCATATATCTTATTATTTTAGTCTGAGGTACTAAAGTGAGGTATACAGTACATAGGGAGGTAATGTGCAAATAATGAAAAAAACGAGAGCTAAGCCTGAATTCTTACTCTAAAAAGTCAGTTTTATCAAAGCTATATTATTATAAACAAATCTAAGTCTACATTTTCGGAAAATTATATTATTATTTGAAATTTTAAACTGACATATGTATTATTCTAAGCTTTTTCTTTATATTATTATAATCTTAGCCCTCGTATTTTATTGTGTAAATCTGAAACTACCAGATAGCTAAAATATTTCAATTATATGGTCACCAAGCTTTACAGGAAGCTTTTTTCAACAATAGGTACATACTAGACATGCTCATTCAAGTGCATCATCACCTTAGAAGGTAATAATAACTTTCTAATATTCAGTCAATTGTCTAAATAATGCTTTTTTTGTGCAAATAATAAAAAATAGCGCAATGCAAAAGTAAAAAAAAAAGTTGCTAAGTTTTAGAATTTTATTTTCCACAGCTCCACAGTAAAAAAATAAAACAAAGCTTAAAATAATAAATTATTTATTTTAAAATAATTGAAAATAAATACCGCCATAGAAGTAGATGTAATACTTTAAATTAGGAGTATAAAATATAAAATAAGATACGTCTATACACATATTGTTAGCGGGCTGGTGGTCGCACCGGAAAGGAACAAGGTCGTGGGAAAGTCCAGCTTATTCCTTGAGAATGAGTTCCACGAAGGCGGTGTCCAGATCGTCGCCGATGTCCTTGTACTTCTCCTTTTCAGCGACAAGTTCGTCTGCGCATTTCCAATAGATACTTATTATACATATTTAGAGTATAAAACAAAATCCATCCAATATATTTGGTAATATATACCTAATATTATCTTTTTTATTGTATCTTGATATTCTACACATAATACTTTAAATATGAGTCAAAAGGACAATTTGTATGAAGTAATACATATTTTTTCCAAGGGGACTCCCTTCAAGTCAAGTTTGAAGCACAATTAATTGTTTTAGCGGAAAATATATGGTAAAGAAAGTATTAAGAAATGCTTACATGTTGCGATCCTGGTTATTCCGAAGCCATGCGTCGTTTTCGCTACGTTGTAAGTTTTGCTTAAACGTTTTTTTTTTTGAATTTTTTAATTCATGCAGTTTGAGAAGCATTGGCAATGTCGGTAGTCGGTTGATGGGAAATCGAAAGAGAGAAATTGTGGGGTACTTTTTTACTGATAAATGCACATGAAAAGCGTAAAACAGACGTTAGGAGTTATTATATGATCAATGGCAGCATGTACAGCGTTCGCAGACTCGTCCAAACTCGCGTGGTATTCCCAATTCCAAGAAGGCCACGTCCAACTCCGTGCCCATTTCGTTTAACAGCTCCTTGCCGGCGATCAGATCGTCTGCGGAGACCGAGTGTCAGTCGCTTGGCGCTTCCATATATTAGTTCGTTATAACACTCGCATGCTCGTTAATTTAACACGACTTAGGGATATTGAAACGCTATTCCACCAGCTAAGACACTCGCTGTTTATTTAGTTACATTTTATCTTATGGATACATATTTTCTTCCGCGGGGTAATTGTACTAAGGGAGAAAGATAATTTAAGGTGCACGCAGTTAAACTAGTTTATTAGGTTGTAGTTATTCAGCGGGTTCGGGTGCAGGTTCAGCCGCAGGGGCCGAGTCACCCTGTGCCGGTTCCGGTGCCGGTGGTGGGGGAGGGGTGGGCTCCTTTGGTGGGGGTGGTGGAGGGGTGGGTTCCTTTGGTGGGGGTGGAGGAGGCGTGGGTTCCTTTGGTGGAGGTGGGGGAGGGGGGGAATGTTCCTTGGGCGGTGGTGGTGCGGGGGCGTTCATTTTTTTCTCTAGAGCTCTCTTCGCATTTTCTATCTGTTTCTCCGTCGGCTCGACGCCGGGGATTAACTCCACGACTGTGTCATCGATGTCGTCGCCGATGTCATTGAACTGCTCCTTTGCGTTGATCAGGTCATCTGCGGCAGGTATGGCAGTCAGGCGACTCAAATTATTGTCATTAATTAGTGGCCTTTTCATTATTGGATTTCACCAGTAAATACATACGTGTGTGTGGTCATGCGTTAACACGGCCTCATGCCTCACTTCATCTATAGGGTCGGGAATAGTGTTGCCAGGTATGATTTAAGACATCGGGATTTTTAAATTGAACAATAATATATGCCAATCAACGCAACTTTTTATTTATTTTTTATTTTACTATAGTGTAACTCCAATGTTACCCTAAAAATCAGGTTATAATTCCTCTTCTCTAGAATTTCGTTCTGCTGTTTCTGGCAACACCGGTGTTATCTTCTGGATATCTCCATGCTTGTCTATTTTGCTAATGGGTCAAAATCATCTTCCGAATCTAAATGCAGGTGTTCATGCTTAACACGTCTACTAAACAAAACGTCACGTTATTCTTGCGTAATGATAACGTGTCTTTACTGTCATTATTTTGGGTTCGACAGACATCTTCAGAACTGGGCCACATGTGCAAGTGATCATGCTTTTATAGGTTCAATATTCATGCCTATGTTTTGTTTAAAGGTGAATCTGTCCACATAGTATCAAATGTTAGCAATTCCATGCTTCGATTTTGAGAAGGGTGTGCTTACCCATGTCTCAATTCATAGCCAATTCTTTCTTAGACACATTCTTGACCCTCTAACTGTCATCTTTTAAGACACATGCGTTAACACTTATAGACGAATTTCGTTACAAAACAGAGGATTTTTTATTCCGTGCTTCGATGAAATGTCGATATTTACAGTGATTTGCATCCAGTTTTAGTTAACTTTGTGAGCTGTTTTATTAGGTTGTATTAGCTTGTACAATGTCTATATTATAATTTTATCTTTTAATATGAAACATAAAAGTATCGTATACTTTTAAGTATAGCTGGTGGAATAATAAGTTTAGAAGGATAATGAGAGGTTAAATACAAATTAGTAAAAAACACAACAGGTTAAAAATAATAATATAATATATTTATAAACACTTGTGTTAGAATACTCTTAAAATCATTAATTTATTTCTCACGAACTTATCTATCAATTCATCAATCAATAACATTTAAAAAAGACGGATTACCCTCGATCGATTTTAAATTACAAAATTTAATTTTTTGTATATTACTTACGCGAACATTCCGAGAACATCTCTGGAGTTAAATTGCCAGCTTTATATAAAATGTTTCATAGTAGAATTGTTGCCATTATTTATAAATTACTTTATTAAATAATAACGAACAGAAATTATGACACAAGACTCGAAACAATATAGAATATCAAATTCATATCAAGCATATTCTCATAAATATCATAACTATATGTGTTACCATCACTCATTAAATATAAATAACTAATCTCTTTCCTATTATTAAGTAAATAAAAGTTCATAATAAATCGCAAACAGTGCACTCCCCGATACTTCTACAGTAAATATTCACTTTCATTGGAATAGTTACAGGAATGTCTTTTTAAGTGCAAATAATTTGGAATAATATTAACACGACTTGTTTGGTCCCAAAATTGGAATGCAGAAAATACTTAACAATAATTAAACATACATACGATTAATTCCGACTAATAATATTTCAGTAAAAAATGACTAAGAAAATTGAGGAAATACCCTTATGTTGTACGGGAGAAAAATATTAGTAATTTGTGTAAGATATTAAAAAAAAAATTGCACTTGGCAGTGGTGTCGTAGCGAACACTCGATATCGACGTTACATATAAAAAGCAGCTGGCAATTACTTTACATCTAGTAACATCTAGTAACATCTAGTAACCCGCCCGCTTCACTACACATCCAGTAAATAAAATAAATGTATCAAAAAAATAAAAAAAAACGCAAAGTTAATAAATAATGACACAAAAAGCGCGCCTAAACCAGTATTGTCGCATTGTCAGCTGTCAAAATTGACAAATGTCACTCAGAGAGCATCCCAGGGTTGCCGGGCCTCGTTAATTTCTATCAAAATTTACACAAAATAGAAGAACTCTCAGATATCGGACGTTCATAAATTACATTTGAATTTTATAGTATACAAACTAGCGACTCACCATCGCTTCGCTCGGGTTCGTCCCTAGGTACGTTTTCACGGTCAGTATGAAATACAAATCTTTGAATTTCTCGGCTTTTCTGTTTTATAATATGCATGTATTATACATAATATAAAAATTCCACTTGAATCACTCTATCTATTATAAAAACCGCATCAAAATCCGTTGCGTAGTTTTAAAGATCTAAGCATACATAGGGACAGACAGACAGCGGGAAGCGACTTTGTTTTATACTATGTAGTGATACAAATGAGGAATATGATATCAAGAAATAGTTATAAGATCCGGCAACCCTAGTGATATGGGGGACATTTATCTCGCGCGGTAGTGAGGCGGGCGGGGCGCGGGGCGGGGCGGGGGCGGGGCGCGGGGGGAGGGGGAGGGGGACAAGTGGGCTAGTTCACATGTTCTGTATGTCGTGGAGCGTGGCCTCCATCTCCTCTTGCAGTACTTTGCTCTTTTCGCGCTCGGCCACCAGATCGTCTGGAAGATGGTACGCGGCGACGTTCAGAACAACATGAATCGGTTCACACTCTCGATAGTGGTGGACAAAAAATTTTTTTTTATTTAATTTTATATTTTATCGTGGCTTGAACATTTTTGGGATACCATTATCGAGAATGCTTACCAATTGGTTAAAACAAAAAAAAACAACATTTATCAAAAACCATGCAAAATCACAGAAATAAATCTACAACAATTCGAGCAGTCTAGCAGGACACATTTAAACTCCATGCCGACAATAAAAAAAAATTACAACCGAAAAAATATATTATACAAAAAGCCTAATATATTTTTCCAGTTGTTTTGAAACATTTAAAACTAAATCTGTTACAATGAAAATAAGAAAAAAAAATTAAGCTAGAATTATAGCGCAATGAAAGTAATAAGCTAACAAATCTATAGTACAGCATTGAAACTCAAAAACAGCTTAATGGCTGATGGCTTCAGTGCGTTCATGTCAAAGCTTTGGTTATTCAAATGTCATTTTGTTACAACTTGACTTTAGAGATAATTGTAATAATTCACTTAACCGACTGCTGTACTGGACAATACACTTATCTGAGGAACCTTGAAAACTTTATAAAGATTATATATTTGATTTCCTTTTACTGAGCAACTGACACTTACTAGTGTCGTCTACTAAACGATTCCTTTCATACATTTTTTCATATTTTCTGGACTTAAATTAAGAATTTTTATGTTTATTATGGAAATAATATTACCTTCAAGCCTGTCGACCTCCTTCTGGAGTTTCTGGACAGAGCGCTCTGCAAATTCAGCGCGAGCTTCAGCCTGTAATATTGTGAGATACTCTTTAATATACGATCTTAAAGAAACAGCCTATTTTCTGATTAATTTAGACAATATTATTAAAAATTAAAATATACGTTAACGTCATTTTTTTCGAGTTTTAATTCTTTTACTTAGTACAGAAAATAGACTGTTTTACAAAAAAGAAAAATCCATGCAACAATTACTTTATAACTGGTTAATTTAACTTTAATCAAAAGATGGAGAAAAAAACTTAATTTTTTTTAATAATAAATTATTAATATTAATTTTCAAAAATTTGCAAAAAGACAAGTATTTACAAGTTTAGCACGAAAAAAAACATTTCAAACAGACTAAACACTAAACGGTAAAGCGATACAATCCCATGCAATTTACCTTTACCAAAAGCAGTAGTGTGCTGTGTGAAGCTATAACTGAGTAAAAATGAACCTTCACCTCGAAAATATTTAGGAATATAGGAATGATACGACATACACGAAGCTTTGGTCACATTTCTATTATCAACAACAACAACAATATTTTACATTTCTAATATGTTTTTAAAGTAACAAAATTTTGAAGTGTAGTTGGAGTTCGGATTATAATTAAAATCGATTTTTAATTTTCAATTCTATATCGATTTCTTTCATATTCATATCGATTTTTTTCAAATGTAAATCCACTATTTTTTTTTAATTCACAACGATTTTATTCAAACTTACATCGACATTTTTCAAATTTGATTTGTATCGGAATTACACGGATTTGACAAATTCGAAAGTATTTTAAATAGTTTAACGTGACCAAAGCCTCTCGAAAGGGGGACTTACTTGCGTCAACTTCTGCGAGAGGCTGTGAATCTTATCCTCGACGTGTTCGCGGGACGCCATCGCCTGGCACAAGGACTCATTACACACAAGCCACCAGCATGCTGGCTGTGTTGTGACTTTACGCTACTCTCGTTTTATCGACATCATTTTTAAATGTAAATAGACTGTTCATAAGAACACATTTGTAATGGTGTAGTTAGATGAGTAAAATATCATATCCCTATATGGACTTCAACATATAAATGTTGGAAAAAACAATGCTAAAAAATTCAAATAAAAGCTCTTTAGTGAAATGATGTAGGACATCAGTGATAGGTAACATATTGAAATATTTCATAAATAAAAATGGGAATTATAAAATAATAAGTGATAAAAGCATTTTACCCAAATCTACAACAAGCCTCAAAAATCATAATAAATTTTAAATGGGAAATACAAAAATATAAACCCAGAAGCGTACAATCACAACACAGCCGCAAAGTAATAAATAAATAATAAATAAAGAAGTAAATTAATACACAGGTATACTATGGGACAAAGACCGCTCATAGAAGATACATAGATGAAGCACCAACCTGTCAGCCACTCGACTAAACGACCTACCACCAGCAAATTAGACCATCTTGCCATATTATATACCTTTAAAATTAGTTACAAAAACTAAATATTTGATTAATTTTTCATATTATCTCTGAGTTTAGAAAGAAGGTAATAATAGCAAAGAGGTTCTATTTCGCCAAACACAGATAGATGAGCATGAATCGACACTAAAACCGCAACCATTTCTATCTACGAGGTCCGATGGTCTCCTTCGACTGTTACCTCTTTGAGTTGCGCGTCCAGAATGTTCACTTGATCCTCCAACGACTCTTCTCTTTGCGTCGCCTGTGATTATGTTATGTTACACAAAAACAGCGAAAACGAAACTCCATGCAGTATCATACAGTGCTGAAGCGATAGATTTTTCAATTCTATATAAATTTTTTCTAAGTTTTTTTTAAAAACAATTCGTTCTAAAATTTCAAACATACGAGTATGTATTTTGATTCTGACAAATCTATCGCTTTATAGAAAAAATGTCAGCTATCACTGTGAGATACCTGTACGAAGATTAGAAACTAAAACTATAAACAACATAACTGTTAAGGAAACACAACAACTAAAATGGTATCGAAAATTAGGGAGAAAAACGGCAAAAGTCGCACTACGTTTCATACTCGATTAACTATAAAAAAAATCGTAAACATAATACAATAAATAAATCATACAGGTACTATTATAATACATATATAGTTAAAATAATAATAATTTTGAATAAAGACATTAAAAATAATAATATAGAAGTGAAATTATATTTTCCATGTATTAAATATATAATAAATAAAATTTGTACATTTATTTTATAATTAATCGAGCATGTATCACTAGAGGGTGTGCGCAAGCGTACAAACACGCAAATGAACCGATTCTGTTCACTTCACACCTCCTTTAGGCGGGTGGTGAGGGTTTTGATTTGGTTTTTGTACTCCTCCTCACGTTGGTTGGCCTGTCAGAATTGTACGCATTATATTATATCACTCCACGTAACCTGTCACGGTTTTTATAATTCTGGCTCTAATTGGAAATTTAAAAAAAATACTCCAAGAATTGATTCTAGGGTATTAAAAAATGTTTAATCGCGTAATATATATGATTTATCAATTATAAAAGATAAAGCCAAAAATATAACGGGTGTCACATATTGGAATTACCTATTTCATATTGCCACAGAACATGAATCCTGAACAGAATTGCTGTAAAGTAAATGAAAGTACATCATCTGTGATAGACACGTTCTAATTACTATTTAATTTATGAACCTCTTAGAAATCATTTAGGTATTACAATACGGTCTTTCATTATAAATATCTAATATAAAATTGTAGCAGACAGATGAAGAGGAAATTGGTTGGTGCATCATAACCGAGTTTCACTTTAGTAAATTTTTTCATACATTTGAATTTCATGATCATTAGCATTCCTAGCTTTGTTTGTCGAATCTAGCTCTTAATTTACGAGAAATAAAAGTATATTTTCCAGCATACCTTCTCTTCAGAGACTTCCAGGGATTTCAGGTTGTTACCGACAACGCGGAGTTCCTCCTCAAGCTCGACGATTTTGCTGAAAGAAACACGTGAAAACTAAATTTCATCCATAATAATAGTTAAATCAAATTAATCCATCGACAAAAAACATTAATTTATTTTACTTTAACTAAAGAATAAGGAACTTACTAAATTTCCAGTAACAAAAATATCAAAAAAATAATAGATATACGATTATAAAATAACTTCAAGAATTTTAATTCGTTTCTTATTTAAATAAATAATGGCTCCGATACTGGCATATGGCCATCAACAGTTCAATGAATCATTATTTGACCTAAATACTTGTCAATTTAAAATTAAAAATAGTGCACCTTATTATTACTAAGCACAAACATGCTATTTACATTATAAATACTTTTTGACAGTTGCCACGGAAAATTAAATAAGTATATTGTATGTACATAGTCCCACTGCTGGGGGTGGGCCTCCCTTCAGTACGAGGGGGATCAGGCCATAGTCCACCACGCTGGCCAAGTGCGAGTTGGCAATAAATATTTTTAAAGATTAAATGGCAAATATCAACAAATATGACTAAAAGAACAACATAAACAGTGTTCAAAACACATTAGTTGAAGACAAAAATAGTATTCTAATTTTGAATAGAATACGATTCTTACATTGAAAGCTCAATTTGGTTTCACTTTTGTTCTGTACATTGTCTTGTTGTTCTTTTATATTCAAACACATGCAAAACAATAAAAAATGGCTAATGTTTATGATAAACGCGGTACCTAAATCAAAATTAATAGTCTGGAAAGCAAATGTTGTTATCTTTCCAGACTAATGTAAGAACAGAGACGACGACATTTTTATGGATAAAAAGAGATTGTACTTTTTGGCAAGTGTTTTTAACGATATTTCGAATAATAATCAAATGTCGTAACGTCTCTATGTCTAGGATAAGCCATTATTAACGATTTACTGTCCAAAAGTAGAAATAATTATCTAATATAAGAAAAATTTCATTATAATCCACAATATTCATACAATATAACATATTCAAGAATTTATATGAGGAAAGCATATCGTCAATAATTTCTTTGCCTTACCAAGATTACAACTCTTTTCCTTTTTATCAACAAATTGAACCAAGCAAAATCATATAAAATATTTTTTTCTTTAAATACTTTTTTGATAGAACACGAAGTCATCTTGGTGAAGACAAAGTTTAAATCTTAAATAAGTGTGGAGAAGTGTGTGCTTTTGTTTTATTTTGATTCGAAATAGCATTTACCGAGTTTTATGTGTCTATTGTCATAACTGAAAATGTTTACTCGATGAGTTCTGCACCTACTATTATTATCTGATACGCGTAATATTATATGAGGCTGTTTGCGCAAAAGGGACCTTACTTCAAGGATCTAGGGACAGATTAATACATGAAAGAAAATTATAATGAAGTCAAATTTTAACAATAAACATTTTTGCAAAAATATGTATTTCCAAAATGTTTAAGTACGTTTGTCCCATTATACAATTTAAATGTAGCTTAGTTTCAAGTAGCTATATTGTTCTCAAGGTGAATTCAAATTTGCAATGCCACATATGTTAATCAGGTGTTACATTAAGTAGCCATTAATTAAATAGAGAGTAATAATACGTAGGTAGCCCATTCTCCGACAGAAATAAAAATATATGATATTTTTATACCGAATGTCTCTCGTCTATCAAATATCAGGCCGGGGACTAAATATGTGTATCTCACAGAGGTCATTTTTGCCATAACAGTCTAATATATCTGCGATGTTTCCTATCCCGAGTGTGTCTCGTCAGTCAAGTGTCGTGTCTTACCACTCGCTCTGCTCAGCGCGCTCCTCTGCCCGCTCGAGGTCCTGCTCCATCAGCACGAGCTTGCGCGCCACCTACCGCCGCCAGCGTTAGTACACGCACGCACACACCACCGCCGCTCCCCACTTGTATTGTATATAATTATATATATACAATATATGTATATATAATTATATTGTAACGTGTGGTTTGTGCTTACTTTGTGTTTGGTTCGTTTTGATCGACACGTGTCAAGTGCATAGGAATTTAGGGAAATGATAGATTCGCGTATATCAATCAGTTTTTTTTTTAATGCAGTGCTTTAATGTGCTGTATTCGCAAATATTTATTCGGGATCGGGGTGTGGTGGTGAGGGAAAGGAGATATAGGGTTTTGTTATTATAGGATTTGCGTATTTATTAAAATTCTACTTTAAAGTTGTTCTTTGATCGTAAGGTTTTTGACAAAAACCTTTAAAACTTGTTCCGTTGGCGTCAGTTATGTTAAAAAGATAAAGCGACACGAATTAAAAATGCCAAATTAAAAAAAAAAAGGATAACACAAAGCGGGTAGTGGAGAGCGGCGTCGGAACGTAAGTAAAATATAAACGAGGGTTGTCCCAAAACATTTAAACTAAAATTTAGTTTCATAAAAATTTAACGAAATAAAATCTAAGTGCTATCTAGTGCGTTATTATAATCGTTATGTGATGTGTGCGCTTGCATATGTGCGGCACGCATATGGCCAGTAATTCTGGTGTAATGCGGTGCATATCTGAAAACGAAAATTGCCCTATACCACACATACTCCCGGCACGTACGATCCTACTCCCTACATACTAATAATATAATAATAGTACACACACTAAGGACAGAAATTTAGTCGACACACGGGCGTGATAGTTAAGATTGCGTAAGAAATATCCATGAAATGGGGCAACCCTTGTTTGTTTAGAGCGGAAAAATGATCCTTGCAACGAGACGACTCTTGCAAGTATCACTATCCGTCAAGACTTAATTAATAGTAATGCGATAACAAATTAATTTATAAGACAACACCTTAGTTAATTGTATGACTGATGCGAGAAATTGAAGCAATTTCTCCATTTCTCCTCCAATGACGACCTAGAATGGACATGCAAAACAGCGACAAACCGATATAAATTATCGATAACGATAATTCGAATTACGGTGCAATGTTATAGGCAAATGAACAACCATGCAAAAAAAACGCGAAAACTTGTAAAACAAAGCCACAGGTTTACCGCACCACCGCTCAATGTTACCTGATACACCGCAAAAGATTATATTTTTGTACCATAAGTATGTATTAAACATCTTTGGGTATATGGTAATATTGATTAGATAGGAAACCTGTGGCCAATTTATAAGACACCTACGATTCGCCGGATTCGGCACGTTCTTCCGCACGCTCCAAGTCAGCTTCATACATGGCCAGCTTACGGGCCACCTGAAGATATTACAATGTTTAAAAAAATCTGCTACACCACCAAAAATACTAAGATAGGAGTAATTACTCTAAACTAAAATCATTTCAAATAAAAATTGCTTCACATTAATGTTAATACTACTTGGGTCGCTTAAAATCATTCATTTCTAGATTTTATTATCATATGGAACTGATATATTAAAGTATATTATTAATAACATTTTGGATTGACTACTAAAATATAAGACTATATCCAAAAGTCACACAGGGAAGGCAGAGGAATACGATGAACCGTTAAAATTGTCAGGTTTTATTTGTGGTTCGAAGTTAAGCAACAGAATCCGTATATGGAAGTAAGTAATACTTATGTAACGACGTACACGAAGTATGGACTTGTCCTTTTAAGGAAAAGAAACGTACGGTCATGCACGATACGTCTCCATTTTGGGCTCGACATTAAAAATTGACACAGGGTCATATGTCAGGGGAATTAGGACAATATTATTAAAGCCATCTGTTTGACCACATGTCACGTTTTTCGGTAATTCACGATAGATTATGTACAAAAAAATTAAATTGAAGGTAAAAAAGATATCTTATCAGTGATAACGTCTTTAAATTCTAGAGTACCTTATCATTAAGACCAGGTTCTCAAAGCATAATTGAATCATACTTCATAAATAAAACTTATAATAAATGACGGAGTTCTGAGGTAACAAACATAAAAAAAAAACATACAGTCGAATGGAGAACCTCCTCCTTTTTGAAGTCGGTTGAAAACATATTTAAGTTCATCATTGATGAAGTACGAGTATTTATTGAATACATACTTTCTAAGATTTACGCGAATATTTGACATTTAAAATCTTTTCGGACTTTTTCGAGGATTTATTTCGATTTTTGGTTTCCGACGATTCCGATGCCTTACAGCAATCATGATCACGGGAAAAACCAAAATAAATCCGCTAAAAATCCGAGAAGATTTATTAGTTTTATTACTATAGCAGAGAAACTCAACATAATATTCTTCGAATGTGTTAGTATTCGCAATATCTTAATCTTTTTAGTTAGAAAAATAAGTCGTATGAGACCGATTGAAAAAAAAAACACCAAACACAAAAAGATGAATAGCCGCATTGAGGGCGAAATATTTTCATAGGTTAATAGAACAGAACAAATATGTACAAATAAGAGCCTGGTTATTTTTAGGAGGATGCAAAAACGACACAACAAAAGGACCTCATCGTATTTCTTGTCGGCTTCCTCAGCGAGGAACCTGGCTTCCTTGAGCTGGTTCTCCAAGGCATCCATACGTTCTTCGTCTGCCAAGGACCTGTTCTCCAGAACCTTCCTTGCGCTGAATCCCATAATAAATATCGATTAACGAATGAAATAACTAAAAGATGTGGATGATTACGATTAAATAAATGGCTTTAGAAAGTTCTGTAACGATGATGTTCAAGGGTAACCCGAGTTAGAAGACATGCAAAGACACACATTGGCAAGGAACGTTTAAAGCGACATAAAATCCGAGGTACCGTAATGCTGTGGAAAAATACAATTAGCTCTTGAAGAAACAGCATTTGTAAGAAAGTAATATAAAATCACTGAATAACAAAATCAATATTTATATATAATATAAATCTCAATAACAATTAATAGCTTAATAATGCTGTTTCTGGTAGAAATATTTTCTTAAACTAATCATTTGAATAATTAAACTATTGTAGTATGTTATTTATTTGAAACCACAAACTAGTTCTAATAAACCGATAAACCGTTTCTGATTTCAAAATTCATTTTTACGTGTACGTGTTGCCATACGTTAAGAAACGTGTTTTATCTCTGCAATATTTTTTTGCTATCGTATTGAATAAATGAATTGATAATAGCATGAATCGTTGCGCGGACAACCACATGTGCAGATTTCATTAGGGTTGCCAATCTTTTGAAAACATAATTTAACAATTTTAAAAATACCGTTTTGCCATTAATAAAAAAAAAACAATTTTGTCCCAATAGTTAACTACATAACTCGAAAACAATATCCATATATTACAAGACCACATCTATTAAAACGCGTGCGAAGTATCAGTCGACAACCCTAATTCTTTCCACACAGTACAACACTCGCCATAACGTGTGGCATCACTTATTAATCACCTCTTCATATTTCTTGTCCGACTCCTCAGCGATGAGCTTGGCTTGCGCAAGTTGCGCCTCGAGTATCGCGACGCGGTCGTCCTCCATGTTGGTTCGGTTCTCCAACGCCTTGCGTATTCTGTGTTAGTGCGGGGCCAAACACATGCATGTTATCGATAGACTATTTATTTGTTTTCATTTTATTCTTTCTTAGTTTCATAGTATTTCCCATAAAAAAAAATGTGACTAGTAACAGTAAGAAATGAATCGGTAAATTTTACTCAGATACTTTTATGATTATTTCTTTGAAACTAAGAAAAAAAATATACACAAGAAAAGAAAATCATAAGTTTTTAATTAAAACAAATGGATTAAGAAATTTAAAACAACAAAAAGGATATGGGCAACAAAAACGAACAGCTAAGAAACACACGAGGTTACATTTTTCTAAACAAAAACACTCATGCACAAATATGTAGTTTTAAAGAAAATATGGATATGAAACAATTAAAAAAATCAAATTACTCATAAATAAAGATTTTGTTTTCAAACGGTTGTATTTATTAAATTATATTTACATACTTTTAAACCTTTCTTTATACGTCAAAATAAGCAACATAAATCAAAACGTAATCACAATAGAATCAAATCAAAAGATAATCCTAAAAATGATCATCTCGGGAATCATTAATCCATATTACCATATCAAATAACAGGCTCATATTTCAATGTCAATAGACTTGTGTGTTGCAAACGTACGGTCAGTGTAACGTACCATATTAATAACCATACTCAGAATACTGGACAATTACACACATTATAATTTTTAAAATATTGATAATTATATTCATTCGATGGAAAATACTGAATATTTTTATTTTTATTGTAACTTATCTACTTTATATATTTAAACGAGTGAAGTTTGTACTGCGACTCACCGTTCCGATTCATCGGCAGCCTGGCTAGCCTCCGCGAGCTTAGCGGTGGCGGTGGCGAGACGTTCCTCAGACCTTTCCAAGTCTTCTTCGAGAAGCTGGATGCGTCGGTTAAGAGCAGCGACTTCGGATTCAGCCTGAAATATTTTATTACATCAAAAAAGAGGAAAAATACAAAAAAAAATAATAAAGAATAGGGATAATTGGCCTATAGGGAATGTGCGTGTGATTTAAATAAAGGTGATTTTTTTTAATAATCTTTATTGCTTTTGAATTAAGCCTATATCAATATTTTTAGTGTGATCTTGTTTTTTTATTAAGAAAATAATTATTAAAAAGAGCAAATATAGATGGGACGTTCATAGTTAAAACGCACGCCATAGGTCAGACCGAATATGACGTCAAAGTACTATCATAACAGAGCGATTAGCGATTTTGTCGCAACAAAGTAGTCATTTTTCTATGTATGATGCTCTGACGTCACGCCGAGCGGGCGAAATGGCAGGCGTTTAAAGTATCCGTTGCGGTATTTCAGATTTTTTTATACTAAATTTTCGTTTTATGGAGCTGGATATTTTTTCACAATTATATAACGATGTTAGCTATTGTATAAAAAAAATACCGCATATTCCCTATTTAGCATTATTTTTTATTGTTTCGACTACTGTTCCATTACTTTCATTCTTTGGACGCTATATCATAAAATATCATACAATTTTTATCATGTAAAATGACTTACTACATTTAACAAACAAATGATTAATACTGCAGCCATACCAGCCAAGATTTCCTAACAAGTACAAACTTATACGATGATGACGAATACAAAAGGTGATAGACATCACGTTACCGAATAAGCGCTAATAAATATACTAATTTGCATTTTTAATAGACCAAATGAGCATGAATTTTCAACGTTAGTAAGCGAAGTATTGTACAACTCAACAAGTGTCCAAGAAATAAGAATATAATATTATATCTTGCATTCATAAAATATTATTATGAGAGATAATTATATTATTTCTCTCAAATGTTCTTATTTAATTATATTCCGTTACTGAAAAATAAAAGCTGCCTACTTCATATCCAACAATAACGTGACCACAGCACGTTACTGATGTACCAAACATGTAATTTACCGTTACTATACTGATTTTTTACCGTAGCGTCCCAAAACAGTCATACTAAGAGATACCAACACTCTCGGCGTATCTACATTGTCTCGTGTTTTACGTATGTGTATCGCATTAGTGTCGCATTGTTAAACGTCGACACATTATACGTGTTAAGAATTAACCACCGTTTGGAATATTTCGCTAGCAGTTCAATTTATATTCAACGACTATACATATGTTTATGACATCACTTTCGTCCTTGTTGCGAGGAAGCTCATTCGAGTCCCAGTTTCTCCTATTTTCCTGTGTTGTCATCACTGCGTGCTCTAATATTAGCGGTGAGGAGATTTACGAGACTAGTTTTATTTCTTTGCAGCTACTTATTAAACCACCCGATACATTGTAATTAAATTAGAGACTACGTGTTGCTATTTAACGTAATCAAATACACAAAACCTAGTAATATGAAACTGATTTGTCGATATACCTATAAAAGCTATATTTCTTGAGCTGTAAAGTGGTAATTAAATAATATTCTATTTATAGCTCCTAGACTATTCACCTTGAACTTACCAGAACGTATTCAACTTAGCGTCTAAAGCTGTTCTGTATTGACTAATGGTGACTAAACTACTTAATCATATTAGGGGTCGATAACCTTATTACTTTTAGTGGAAATTACGAACTTAGGGAGAGATGCAAGTAATTTTCCTACTGTAACTTATCCGCTTAACTTTAGAAGGCTTCTCTATAAGTTACACTTCAGTAGACAAGATAAGGGATCAGTATTGTGAGAGGGATTCGTACCTACATTGTTCAAACTTTTTTTCGTATGGGACACTAGCGTACAACAATTGATTGATCGAACAATGACCAACCCATCGAAAAATATTCCTAAAACGGTTCTTTAAATGTACAATAGATATAATGCCTCATTTAAACTTCGTACTCTATAAGCCTTAAACAAAAGCGATTTCACTTTAAGATATTTATGGCATTTTTAACATAACTACTTTGCATAATTAGACACATCCGGTACCTTATAATCGTTCTCATTATATTCACATTTAGAGAAATACTTGTTAGGACTTTTATTATTGATACATTGGTTATTTAACTTCCTATTCAATTCTTGGAAAATTTGTAATATTCAAATTGGACTTGTTTTCGTTAAGTAGTATGCCTGTTGTACGTGACTTTAAATAATTACATTAAAGTGTACTCCTGCGGCCTCCACAGCAATGCCGTGTTATTTTCCAATGTTAGTACACGCCTACGAAATGATGATAAGTGTATCTTCTTAGTTCATCCATGTACATACTTTAAATATGGATAATCTCTAAAACCGCGAAATCATTTTAGAGCTTATCAAAATATAGGGCAAATATTAAAAGGTGGAACGTTACGCAGCTCATGTGTATTAGATTTACACTCAACACGATCTTGATTCTTGAGTTAACAATAATTTCTTATCGCTTTTTGATATACGAAAGCTGATAAGACACAGTATTATAAAGAAAATGAAACTGAATTACTATTATTTTTTTTATTGAGAACATCAAAATATTTGCTTCTACTAATTATTTATTGGTGTTCCGTTTGTAATAAAAATATTAAATTGAGCAAAATACGTTTGTGCATGGAAACCTTATAAATTACGTCATATGGCGATAACGGCAAGGAGTCGGACACGCCTTTCTGGCGCCGGCGCGAACCTTCGGGGACGTCCGAGCCACGAATACGAGGAATGCATTGAAGGGTGCACGGTTCCACGACCCGAACCGGCTCGCTCTACATCATGTGGCACAAGCCTGGTACGCGACCTCCAACGCACCAAACCAGTTACGTATAACAGAAACTGGTACACTGTGTACCGCTAAATTATGTAAAGAATAAACCATGAACTCCTTCATCTCGATATTTCAATTTGCAATTCACGTTTTTTCTCTGAATAATATTAGTTCTTGGTGAACAGACCACGGTAGCAATATAAAAAAATACATTTGCCCTCTCACTCTAACGAGCTATGCAATAATGAATCGAAAAGAGAGGTAGATATGCGTACGTCGCCGGCACACCTAACTATGGCCGGACATAACTCACTATAGGTAGATAGTAATGTAACTTCTATAGGGCCACTGATAACTCGAAAGAGGACAACGACATTTCTAACACAAATAGTGACACATTCAAACTAAAATTTCACTAAAAAAACACTACACATATAAATAACACATGTCTTACTTCTTCTCTCCGCATTATTTCAACTTGTAAACGTTTGTGGTACTCCTCACATTCATCCTTATATTTCTCCATTTCCTCTTTTGTTTGACGCATTTTCTTCTTTAGTACGTCCAAAATGGTTCCTTGCTGCATGTTTGTCGTCATTTTTCTCACTTTTTATTATTTCAAATAGGCCTAAATGCTAAAAACTAGAGACACCTTCGTCCTACTCGCGAAAATTCCAACTGACTGCCCTGTTCGTTACTGCTCCGTATCGCGGAGATACCACGGCCCGAATGAACACTGCCGGCGAATAAAATGGCCGCCACTAGCTAGACGCTGCAACTTTATTGTCACCTCACTAATGACGTGCCCTTTATAATATTAAATGATAACGATTAAAAAACTATAACTAGTACAAATTTAAATTGAGAAAATTATATTGCCACTCAATCGAACATTATTTTACGAATAATCACTTTGACAGTAATGTGTAAACTCAAGCGGAATAGTAAACCGTAAACGTCACACACAATCGACCGCGCAGCAAACACTAGCACCACCTGTCATACGACTGTGGAAGTAACATCCTGTAGGGTCAAAATTCAAAAACAAACGTTTAAAAGAAAAATCAAATTTAGGGGATAGGTGAAACGCTCCAAGAGTCATGCACAAAGGTACGGAAGTTGCGATAGATTGAATGGTTAAAAATTGAATTACAATTGTGAGAGCAATCGTTTCGTAATAATATTTTCATCAATAGTAGACCAAAGCCTATTGTTAATTTGAATGATTTTGTCACTTGTTTGTCATTAATAAAATAAATGAAATTTATTATGTATACGTAAAAATATTAATTATAGCAAAAAGGAAAATTTAATACAAAAATATGGTATATAAAAGTACGTGTCAGTCAGCGCCATCTAGCAAAAAATAAGCGAACGAAGTAGTGGACCACAAACATACGTAGTAACAACTCGCTAAAGAGTGTTTAACAAGTTTTAAGCGACGAATAAATGGTAAATGTACGAATCACACGATATAGGTAGCCGAAATTCATTGATGACGCAATTTAGAAAGTATGCGTCTGCCTTAAATTCTGTTAAATTGACGTATAACAGAAACTTACCCATTCATTAAAATTTTGTTATATATCTATAATATTACAGAATCTTTAGATCTAGTTTTTTATATTATATAATAAGTAGGCGCGTAGATCCTACTTGGATAAGATTTTTTCTCGTTTATTTTTCATTATTTATTATTCCATTTTCCTAATGGATAACTGTTTACGATTAAGTATACCTATTACTTTAAAAGTTTTATGAACTTATGTAATCAATGGAAAAAACCTACGACAAATAGGCACCGATGTATACCTATGTAAAGTTACTATTTTTTTTATAGAATACGTAACTTTGAAAATGAGAAAATATATTCAGTATGAATTTTCAAGTGCAAATCGTTTTTATCTAAATGACCTCAAATTATGTTTATAAACATACCTGGCCTGATTCATTCAGGCCTGCTACAAAGGAAGCATCAATTAACCTTGGCTGCATTTCAGCTTTGTACGAACTACCTATATTTTATATTCTTATAGCTAGGTCGATAACTATCATGTCCAGCTTTCAACTATTTATGAAGAATAATAAAACAACTACACTAGGATCTGCGGGACAACAACAAAATCTTTTTATCACGCTGTGTCAACTAGTTCCCGTGATATTATATTATTAAAAGTAGGACCCACACTAGCTTTAAAAAAAACTAGCGGCTCACTCTCACTTCGCTCGGGTTCGTCCCTAGCTTGCTTCCCAATATAAACTTTCATCCGAATTTTAACTAACACCTTAAAAAATATTCTATGTCTTTCCCAGGGTCTTAAACTATCTTTTCACCAAACTTCATCTAAATCAGTTCAGTAAATCCAGAGATTACCCCCTACAACCTCACAAACTCACAAGCTTTACCTCTTTATAATATTACTACCGACTCACCCTCGCTTCGCTCGGGTTCGTCCCTAGGTTGATTCCCCATACAAACTTTTATCCCCACCTTCACCCGCTTAAGGGATGATTTCCGGGGTAAAAAGTATCCTATGTCCTTCCCAGGGTTTCAAAATATCTTCTTACCAATTTTCATCTAAATCGGTTTAGTAGATCCAGAAATTACCCAATGTCACAAAGTCACAATTCACAAACTTTACCTCTTTATTATATTAGTATAGATAGTATATAGTATAGAAAAACAGTCGTGTTGGTCGTGAAAATGTGGTAGACACTAAATGAAACGTAAGTTTTTTTCTTTTTAATAAAAGATAGGATAGGGATATAGATTTTGAGTCAAAATACGTGAGAATTCTCACATAGCCAGCGTACCTATTTGATTTCATTATGATAACAAAGTTCTCTGGACTCTCTGGTAATTAATAATATACAAATGAATTATATTACGTCTCCCTCAGGAATTCATTACAATTTGATTTATTTTTAATTAATACAACGGGTATAATTTGTGGATAGTTTTGCGTAATCTTTGTACTGAGAATTTCGTAAGACTGAATTTTTGCTACATAACGACTTTCATTAAAAGCATTTATTGATTACGTATAATTTGTTGCAGTAGCAAAGCATCAAGAGTGTATGTATGATTGTATCATTTATTTCTAAAAAATATTTATGACCAAAAAATAAGAAATTAAATATTTTATCATATTCAATGACCCTAATAGGACATCACTAGAGTAAAGACGTATTAAGAATAATTTAGAAAGTTGCACCACGAAAGCATTTCAATGTATAAAACGAGTAGGTATAATTCTTCATCTTTGTATCTAATTCTCTCGCCTTATCAGTAGGCTGGATATTTCGTACTGTATATATGATACTTGAATGATAAGAAATATTTGTTCATTTAAGTTCATCTTGAAGCAGCTAATCTAACACATTAGTGGATAATTTCTGAATAATATTAAAAACTTATGGATCAATGTACTATTTAAATGTTTGTAATTTATTTATTAATTTATTTTTATAGTAAATATAGATAAGACCGAAGTCGATACGACATCTAGCGGTGGCGATTGTAATCATCAGCGTAAACAAGTCAAACGAAATGTCAATGGCTCAGCTGATCGCCACGCGCGGATTTACTCGCTTCGTAGAACAGCTTCAAGACTTTTCCGACGGAACGCGATTAAAAATAGTTCTGTGCGCATTTGGCCCACGCCTGCTTCACTCACACATTCAAATAGAAGTCTAATAAATGTAGGACATTACCCTTTTCAATGCAGTATTCTTAATATTCTGCAGCTCATTCTTGATTATGGAAAATTTCATCATAGTATCGGAAGAGAAAATAGAACTGCCGAACGCTAAGCCCGGATAGTCGGCACATCTTCGTCGTCGCCTATTCTCTCGTGCGGCTAGGACCTCAGTACATTCACTAGGACACCTGAGTTTAGCAAGCTCAGCCGTCTCTAGATCATCATCGGATATATCCGACACGGGTGCGGGCACCTCTGCTCCGTCACCCGCCGATCTCTCCTCTCGAAAGGAGAAATCATCTTCGGAGCTCCCATTGGAGTCCGGCCCTAAAATATCAAATTCATCATCGATATTCGATTCGTTTTTTGGATTCGAAAGTGCATCGTCACTATTCGTCCTTGTTAGTTGAGATTCACTAGCACTATTGACACAAGGCACAACATCGTCTGTATTTAAGGTCGGTTTGGACGGATTGTTCGGGGAGGGGGCGGGTAGCCGTTCACCCCTCAGCCGCGGGTGGTGTTGATGCCCCCTGCGCCGCACGGGGGTGCGCCCGTGGGCGTGGGGCGCGGACGCGGACATTACTGCACTCCGCGCGCTAAAACCGGCCGATCTGCGCCCGCCGCCATGTTGACTGACTGTCGCTTTCAACAACAAACGTGGCGCTACCGTCGCACGTGGAACGCCATCTTTTGTTTGTTTTATAAAAACGCTGTTTTACCGACGTAGCTATTTCGTATTTAATCTATTATTCGCGACTATATTTAAATTTAATAGAATAATAAATTATATTATTATCTATTCTATTACGTTAATGCATTAATATAAAAAAGTATAAATTATTTGCTGTGAATTGTGATTTTTTTTTATAATATAAAAATAATTAATGAAGAATGAATTATAGTATAAAGTATATATTTTAAATTACTATTATTATTAATTAAATACAAAAATAAATATACCATAACGCTCTATAAAAACAACTGTTAATAGACTAATTTTACCGAAATACCAGGCAACGCGCCCATATTAGGTGTCAGGCTAAAAATACCCGGCGGACGGTACGCGATCGCAGGCGGCAAGAATCCGAGCAAGACTTACGTAGCCGGGAGTCAGAATATATACATTCAATCATAATATTAAATCTACACATTTTCAATACAGAATCAATGACTTCATTTTATCACACGTTGTTTTAGTGTTGTGAGTTCAATTGAATAAAATTTCTCCTTCAATATGTGATAATAGAAAAGTAAATTCCTCATCTAGGTATTAATTTATAATTAATTTCTATTATAATAAAATTATTCTAACACAAAATTGTTTTCATTCATTAGTCTAAAGTCTATGAAACAATTACTTTTATCAATTATTATCACCGTACTAGCATTCATATCTACGTACCTAGGTAATGTAAAGCAGCCAAATATTAACAGCTGTTACTATATCGACCGCATTATTTGCATTGAAACAATATTACTCAACATTCACAAGTACTATTAAAATAGATATATAGTTTTAGTACTTCTTATCATCTAAGAAGTCACACTAGTGACTTTTCCTGGTTTCGTCTTGGAATTTTCTACACAATTTATTCCTAAAATAAATATTATTATACACGAGAATCTATGTAGTATGAAAGAAAATTATGATCCCATCATCCATGCCATTGAAGCCAACATTGGGTCGTTGCTCCTTTGCTGCATGAAATGACTTTATTTTCACATAAATAACATTATCGTAAAAATCGTATTAAATTATGTTGTAATATATTCTATTTCTTTTATTCACCAAAATAATTCAAAAAAAACGTATGTAATAACTAAATAGTCGCCATTATTTCGACAATTAACCTAAAAAATAAATAAATCATGCGATACTTGTATAATTGAACGGCTCAAAGCAACTATAACATTATATTCATTTCGCGTTTTAGGATTATTCTAAGTAAATTAATATAATAATTTCTAATTTAAACATTCCTTAGGCGCAATTTTCAAGTGACTTCCGAAATTCAACCCCTAAAATCTTAAATAGTAGAGTCAACTATTAGTAAAGATAATCTCGAAATGTACCTAAATGCCTAAAATAATTCACGGAGAACTGCTAATTACAATTAAATTAAGTTTGTCTTATATGTTCTTTGTACATATAGAAAAAGTTATTCTAAAATATAACAAAGGGTATACAACTCACGTTCTGTAGTGCCTTCTCCTTCTCTTCCAGCTTGGCGTTGACCTGCATGAGGGCCTCTTGTGTCTGGTCAAGGTCGTTTTCAATGGTCTGGATCTTCTTCTGGAGCTGTCTGGCTTCTTCTTCAGCCTATTTTAAGAAGAAATATAATAAATAAAGATAAATAAAAAGGTAATATTAATTTAATTTGGTAGCACGGTAAAACTGTAGCAATAGAAAACAATGAAAATTCGTAAGTTTAATTTTTATTTGTACAATAAAGAATTTACTATAGTATACAGTATTACCTAAGACCTCTCCTGTATTAATATATTTACTTGCTGTAGAGTTCAAACCAGTGTCAATCAGTGCAATCATTGGCAAAATATCTAAATTATATAAAACTAACAGAACCCGCGGTTTTGCTCGCGCTAAAACAAAACACTAAAACTGCACAAAAATCTATAAGAAGGTAGTTTCATAGAAACTTTCTTCCCCGATTTTACCCCCTTATAGGATGAATTTCGAAAAATGCTAAAACACTCTGTTTCGACGTGAAATAAGGACAAACAAACAAACACGCTTTCACATTTATAATATTATTGTAGATAGAGAAATTAAATTAAAAATTTTAAAATTAATTTACCTATAAGACCTTCAAATATGTATGATAAAATATTATAATATGTTTAATGTACAGGACATCTAACGTTCATATCATTGTGTGGTATTTTAAATTAAAAAAAAAACTTATTATAATCCATATCGTAATAGGTCAATAAAAATGTTTTCTTGTGTTAGCGCAAGAAACAAATTCTACTGGCTTAGCCAAGGTGACATTCTACAATAATTGTTTACGCTGATACAAAACAAAAAATTGTATGGAAATGTATTCATGACAACGTCAAACTTCAAGGTAAGTATATTGATATTCCCATATATATATTTTTTCTTCTTTTTTTTGCGTTAGCGATTGTACGTTTATACTTAATGTTTCGCTTTCTACAAATTACCTAATAATGATATCAAAATTTAGATAAGTCATATCCATACATTTTTTAGTTATCTATTAGTAATAGCGTTTGTAGAAAGCCATTTTATTTTGGACTCTAGTTTATTTGATTAAGTACCTTCTCAGCGCGAAGGCTAGCGTCCTTGGCCTGCTGCTCGCACATGGCGGCGCGGTCAAGCGCGTTGTCCTTCTCCAGCTTCATCGCTTGCATTTTCTTCTTGATCGCGTCCATTGTGGCGGTTTTTTGGTTCTACTCCCCTTGATGAAAATCTATGAGAGAACATTCATAAATAGTGCTTTTAAATTAGGTTTCAATAAAATATAATCATAAAAGACTAGCGATGCCTAACAGTAGCTTATGTTACTCCAGGTCATAAGCCTATCCGTGTATTAAATTTCATCTAAATCTGACCAGCCAGATGGAGTAAATAAGAAACTTTCGCATATAAGTATACATAATAGAAATGATCGCTAAGCTTTTACTTTGTCTGGATAAATTTTAACTCAACAAATAAACTGACTGAAACAAAATTTAAACTGCCATTATAAAAAGCTGCCTTAATTAATACATCAAACAACTGAGCAATATGAAAGATGCAATCGAATAGCAATCGCAGCTAGTCTATTTATGGTATCGAGGGTGCATTGCTCTTGCGTGCTACGGGGGTTCAACGTTTTTTAGATATTATGTAGGTTTTTGTGTGTAAATTTCTTAAGATATGTAAGAGCAATCTATACATTACTGATATCAATGATGTTTATTATAGTAACAACATTTTTGTCTACACCAATACATAGGCTAAGTAGTCGTTGGTTAAAGGCAAGTCAATTTATACGTTTTCTGTTCAAATTCGAGTTACTCAGAACTTTAAAAATATAAAATTCATTTCAGAGGTTAAAAACCTCAAAAGTAAAAGTAAAAACCGTACCGAGATATATAATTCATATCGTTAGAAAAGCAAGATAATCGTTCACGGCAATTTTACTATAAAATTGAACGTTAGCCTATAACGCGCTGTAGCCAGACGAGTAGAGCCGATAATTAGTTATGTTAAACTAAGTTACTGGTTGGCTATATCTTTGTGGTATATATAACATGTATATTAACATCTTATAAATATTCTTATTAAGATTGAATTATTTTTAATTATATTTATGATAAAAAATTTATAATTGAAATATTTTTATGATAAAAAAATAACTGCAATAATATAAAATACCAGTAAATTTTCTGAAAAAAATTACTTATACTTTATCAATTGTTTTAAAGAGTATTATTTATTATTTATTCATTGATATTTATTCTTTTGAAAGCTATCTATAGTACCTTCACAATAGTACGAGGTTTGAAAAAAACTAGGTCTTTGCCTGCGGTGTATTACTAAAACTAAAAACAAAAGTAGGAACCGGCTTACTTGTAAGTACAACAACGGCTAGACTATTTCTTATTCGGAGGCTGCAAGGCTGGATTCTAGAAAGTTCTCTTTAAAATTTTTGTACATACCACGCGTGCCTCGCCACACAACACGTAAATTCTTTACCTTTGAAATGGAATTCTTTGAAAATGCAATCTTGTTTGATTCATTAATGAAATATTCTAACTTACAGTACACTCGTACTTGAAAAATATTGGTAAGGAGGAAACTATCATTAGAAAATGAATATTAAAATAATTTCAAATATGTAAGGTATGTAAGTATACGTATTTTCCAAACTTATTTAAGAATTTTCCAATCAATTTAATTGTTTACTAGCGACCTAGCGAAACGAGGATTAGTTTTTTTTAATTTTTTGACAGAACCCTAATTCTTTTTCTGTACATATAATAAAATTGTAACTGAGCCGAATCTGTACATTAAATATTTTTTGAAAAATCTTATTGAAATGATCATTATTATCGAGACAGAGGCCGAATCTGTAGTTTTTAGAATTTTTGTCTGTCTGTCTGTCTTGTTTTGTAAGAGTAATATACTAATATGTAAAACTTAAGAATTTGGTTTTTGGTCATCTGAACGCGAGCGGAGCCGGGGGCAATGCTAGTCTAAAATAAAAGTTGCCTAAGTTACTCCTTCTGCCAGTGAAAGTCCCGTCAAAATCGGTCCAGCCGTTTCGCAGATTAGCCACAACAAACAGTATTTATTTAGTAAAATACTGTTATTTTGACATTTACAAACACTTTAATTTTATTTATATGTAGGTAAAGTTGTAGAATTTACAATCATAACACCTGCAGGTAAATTTGTAAGAAATTACTTGAGTTTCTAAGAAATCTATTGTTAATTTGTAACGCCGGCGTGTCCGCGGTCGAATTAATGAAATAAATCACTCTTTACCAATTACATAATAATTTTTAGTAAGAGAAACAGTAATCAGTTGACATTCTCATTTTCGCTAGATAATTTGTTATCACCTCCAGGTAAATTTCTAAGAAATTAATTAAAATTCTAAGAAATCTATTGTTAACTGTAACGCCGGCGTGTCCGCGGTCGTGGAGGTATACACGTAACGTAAGTGCTGTCAGCTGTTAGACAGCTAACTCCTAATATAAATACGAGTGAAATTCCACTTACACTAAATAATACATACTTAAAATACTTTCACATTTAAATCTTAATTTTAATAACTTATCATTTATTAAGTCAAAGTAGGTAACTATATACTTGTACTTTCAAAGAATAAATCTAATATAAATAAAATAAATTATAAGTATATCCATACTACATAAATATTGAAAACCTACAATTTGTCCATAGCTTTAAAATATGATGATGCTTTGAAAATGAAATATCAATAAACCTCGTAGAGTTCGACCTGGCCCTCTGGGAGGCTGAGATGTGATTCAATGGAAAAGTATTCCTTTGTGTGAATCATATTTCGCAAAAATGCAAAGTGCTGAGTGCCGTCCGCCTGACCGGTCCTACGAAGCGACATAATATTATGGCCCTTTTAGTTATACTTACGTGTGCGAGCTTCGAACATTGGAATTTCTAATATTGACCTTATAAAAGTTATTTACTATTTTTTATTTTTTAATAAAATAACGATAAAAAAATTATAATTAAACTTTTTACACAGTTTTTCTATAAAATTATTTTGTCATAACTTTTTTCTTTTTTTTTTATCTCCGTAAGTATAAAAGTCATTGAATAATATGATATTAGATATACTTTAGTCTCAATCTGATATATTCTAACCACAAACAGATGTTATCAATCTAGTTAGTAGATATGTTGAGTGTAGGTTCTGTTTTATTCTATTTGTAAATGAGTTACGACACAAACAAAAATAGAAAACGTAGTCATTAAATTCACACCTCCAGGTGAACTTCTAAGAAATTAATTAAAATTCTAAAAAATCTATTGTTAACTGACACGCCGGCGTGTCGCGGTCGTGGAGGGATTAACATTATTCAATGACAATTTAAATAAATACTTACTGTACCACTAGTACCTACTAATGCATAATATATTTGTAATTATTTGTATTTAAATCTGCAATCGTGTCTTGAGAAAAGTATGTAGAATGTAAAAACAATAATACTAATATTAAAACTACTTTTTACTGATATTAAGTTTGAATATTCAATTCAATATATTTAATTAGCAAGAAAAATGACAGAAATCTTTAATTTGTTCTAACAAAATTTATATTGCTACAAGACCTCTATACCACGTACTGCGCACACGCATTATACGAAAAATGCAAGTAGTTTTGATAGCTGCATGAAGATAGTGTACGCACAAGTTTCATGAAAATACAACATAACTACAAGTAGTTTTTAACTCCATTTTAGGTAAAATAAAAGTCTAATTGAAAATTCAAAGCTTCAAAAATATTGCCTTACGCGAGAATATATTTTCTTCATTTAATTCTACAGTTCCATCTTACTAATATTGTAAACTAGCAGCTCACTCTCGCTTCGCTCAGTGTTGCCTCTAGAAAAACGAAACCTATTCCACGGAAACCGTACATTTTTCCAGGATACACATCCTATGTGCCCAGGTATCCTATGTGCTATTTCAGACTGTAATCTATCTCTGTACCTTTCATCCAGAACCGTTCAGCCGTTCTGGCGTGATTGAGTAACAAACATCTATCTAAACTTTCACACTTATAATATTAAGTAAAATGTGAAAGTTTAGATGTTTGGATGTTTGTTACTCAATCACCCTATAACACTCGCGTTATTAAGACGAATCTAAGGACGTATGAATTATCAAAATCGGTTAAGCCGTTTAGTAACTACTATTCACACATCCATACATACACAAATGTCTTAAACACATAACCCTCCTTCGGGCATCGCCGCAGTCGGGTAATAAATATGCTAATGTTATGCTTTATTAATAAGTAAGTCTCAACAATAAGTAGTAAAGTACGTAAAACTCTAAAAATGAAACGATTGTTCGTCTTGCTCGAGTAACGTCGCAGGTTTTAAGAAATCTACGTAAGTAATAATTATTTCTAACTAGAATTAAATTTATACAAATATATGCATTCTTAACGTATCTTCTTTGTTTGTAGTACATACTTCCTGATTACAAAGATTGCATTTTAACATACCTATCTTTACTAGTTTGAGATAAATTTATTTGCGACCTTTTAGTTTTCCATTTGTATACAAAAAATTTAATGCATATAAGATCGAGCATCTACATTGTTAGATAATTTAATCTTTTCAGTGTTTTATATTTACAGTTAGGTGAGGGGACGGACGCCGTCGATAATAATAACAGCATTTAACAATATTTAAGATTTTTGTAAAATATATTAGTGAGCAGTAAGTGTGGTACATGTTTAGGATTATATTATTTAATAGTAAGTACATATATTGTTATCCTATTATTATTTATTACCTACTACTAAGTTGGAATTAATGGAGTGATATTTGAAAGTAGCTACTCTTCTGATTACAAAAGTTCTATCACCAATATTTAGTACTAATATTGTTTAGTTTAGATTTCTCAGAGATGAGATATTTTACCGCAGTAAAAATTATCCTATATAACAGATAAATAATAACACTCAGATAACCAGCTATTATCATACCAAATGTCATCAAAATCTGTCCAGTGATTGATAATAATAACTATTTCAATAAGATTTTCGAACTAGTATTTAATGTACATACAGTTTCGACTTAGAATTTTATTATATGTACCTATAGATGGACCTTTAGCGTGGAGCTAGGTGAGCAATTTTGCAACGTATGTCGACAAAAAATTAAAATTATTATTTGTTGACGGGCAAAGTTATTTATGGATGCCACGCTACAATAAACAACTATAACTATTATAACCAAAAAATTGTATTATTGTACAAAGTCAGGTTTGTTACAACACTTATTCGAGAACTGCTGGACCGATTTTTATGATCTTTGTTTTGTTAGTATTTGTCTTCACCCCGAATAGCAGAATAACTACTAAAACATCGGAAAAATTCACGAAAAAAAAATTGAAAAAAATATCTATTCTCATACCAAGCGTCAAAACGTACCTAGGGACGTATCTGAGCGAACCTGAGCGAAGCGAGGGTGAGTCGCCAGTAAAGTATAATATCGAAAAGGAAATTATTATGCTAATCCTCCAAGGACTATCCGTAAGGTAAATACAGATGCCAAGTTGGCACTGTTGAAAACCTTAATGAATGTATGCAAACTATTATTTACTTATTATTGTCTTGCTATTATATAGGTACTTGTACATCATATATCTATACTAATATTAAAGATTATGAGATTGTGAGTTTGTGACGTAGTAGGGGGTAATCTCTGGATCTACTGAACCGATTTCGATGAAATTTGGTAAGATAGTTTGAGACCCTGGGAAGGACATAGGATACTTTTTATCCCAGAAACCATCCCTTAAGGGGGGTGAAAATGGGGAAAAAAGTTTGTATTGGGAAGCAAGCTAGAGACGAACCCGAGCGAAGCGAGGGTGAGTCGTTAGTATTTAATATAAATACACAAAGACTAAACCGCTAACATCTAGTTTATACTAACATCAAAGTTAGAAGCTTTTCAGTGAAAAATAATGTACTGTAATAACAACATGTACATGTTCCACATATTTATAGAATATTCAAACCTATAAACTCTTGCGTATGGTGTATGTGAATCTGGTGAATCTGTGTGTATTTTATATAGCGTAGCATCATTAAATTTTTGGCACTCGCCTACAGTTAACATTTTATCACATAAGTAATATGTCGAAAGTTTATATTTAAACAGTGTGGGATATATTTAACTCGTTTCTAATATTGGTACACGTCCCGGATTCCGACATACTTCTAACAGTATAACGTGTTCTTAAAATATCGTTTATTTCATAAATATTAAAGTACAATAGACATTAAAATATTTAGGTACTAATCAATTTTTCGCTTTGAACAATGCAATTTTTTTATGTCTTTTGACATTAGGTCATGACAATATCACACTGAGTTAAACGTTAAAAATGTGTACCTAGTGTGTTTGTGTTTGAATATTAAATTAATAATTTCAAAAATATTAAAACAAGTAAATGATATACTATGAACAAGTTAAAAATAATATTTTACATTTAACATAATTTATAAAAACCAAAGCTTTCATATTTTATTAAATAAAAAGTTATTTGAAACATAACTATTGTATGGTTGTAAGTCGTAACTTCTTTCTAGCGCATGCGTAACTCCGTTTCCCGCGCTCTCTTGCCATTGGTCACGATCTGGCATATTGCCAAAAACGCGGGAAAACTCGGACAAGAATCGTTGCTATTGGTCATTAGACGTGAAACCGAGCACCGCGATATTTTAAAAATAGAAACAAGAACACGATTTACACAGACACTTTTAACTTTTAATAATTTGCCAAATATTTAAAAAAACATCAATAATATATTTATTTGTCGTTATTTTAATAATCTAATTTTCTAATCACTATAATTATTAATTACAAATATAAATTTAGAAATTACACTCCATTTCAAAAATACAGCCTCGCCGTTTAAAATCCGAGCGTTTTCAATAATGAAATGCAGTTAAATTCCATTTCAATCACTTACCAGACAAAATAAATGCACCTTAATATAAATTGCCACTTATCACTGTACACTACACTAGCAGGTATTAGTGGTACTTACATGTCGAGTCGACGCGTGCTGTGGTGCGACTGGCGTGCGGCGGGCTGGCTCGCCCGGTGTCGCCTTACCGCCGCGAAAGGAGATGGAGCCCCGCTCCGAGAATACGCACGTCAGGCTTCTAATATTTGATAAATAAAATTATTCCAGGGATCTTTTTAATTATCATTAATTACGAGTATGTGGGACAAAACGTACGATCAAATTAAAAAAAAAAGAAAGAAAATATTAAAATAATAATAATAAATCGTATTATTCGTAAAGGTCTCGTAAGCTCGTAACTTTATTTACAATATTTATTCTTTATTATGCCTTTCTTTTAAATAAATTGTAACTACTCGTTCCCCCGTTTATCTATTTGTAGTGTAAAGACTAGAAAGATAAACACATTGCATTCGAAGCAAACTGCATATATAATATAAGGTATTGCATATTTCTCAGCATTACACTTTCACACATTAAACTTATAATCATAATTATTTTTGTCAAGAACTTATTTTTTGCTAAGCATTCAAAGTACCGAGACGGTTATCATTCCACAACAAGGTATGATAATCGCCTCGACATAAGCTACGAGTTTCCGTCGCATTTTGCCCTTCCCTTTAACGACCTACTGACCAGAAAATATTTCAAATATGCATATTGCAGCCTAGACCATAATTTTAGATGATATTTAATGTTTATAGTAAAAACAACACAGCATAAAGCATGTAATCCGCGTACCTACTCTCACGGGAATCCAAAATGATTAACTAGTTTTTTACAACAAAATATATAATTTAAAATAATATCAACTATTTAGAGATACAATTTATTCAAATAAACCTAAGGCATTCTATTTTAATATTTTTTGCTTTCTTTTTAGTTAGTGTCGGCCTGTTGGGACACTACGGGCGAGTCAGCGTCTGTTTTTTTATGTTAAATCATTTTTATTCATTTGATTATTGCATTCTCCAGCTAAAGAAATAGAAAATAATAAAGGGAAATTCTTTGATATTTAAATAAAACTGAATAGAAAAATGATACATCAAATAAGTATTAGATTTATTTCCCCTACTTATTATACCTACCTATTACCACGGTAATATGCATTACATTACCGTGCTATTACTGATTCAAAATTGCCCTAGAGATTTCCATTAGGAGAGCCTCTCTTACGCCTTTGTATTAAAAATATTATATTTTAGGCCAAAAGTGCAAAAATAAACGTCGAGAGTGTGAAAATTAAAATCAAATTTATTATTTACTCTATATAGTCTAATTTAATTAAATTCATCATACGATTCAAAGAAATATTTTTCGTACCTACGTGATCATTTATTTGCCAAGCAAAATAATGAGAATAATGTAAATTATGGCAAAATAAGTTACTTACATTGAAACCGAAACACTACTTGATAAGATGAGTCACCAGACATACCTACTCGAGTTAAGGTAAATAGTTGACCCAGATGTCACTTAAGGCGCCATGCTTGACCTTGCCAGTTCTACTGTGCAGGTTACCACTTTTTTGTCTCTTTCAATAAATAATTAAACAAGATCCTTTTACTCAGCGGGAAATAGAAGATACTCGTACCTTCACTTTTGACGAACTTTTCGTTCGGAGGATCATCAAAATAATAAAATTTGTATATATACATTGAGACTCTGACATCTCTCTCCCTAGCTTGCTTTCCAATACAAAATTTCACCCCCATTTTCACCCCCTTAAGGGATGGTTTCTGGGATAAAAAAGTATCCTATGTCCTTCCCAGTGTCTCAAACTATCTTCTTACTAATTTCATCTACATTGGTTCAGTAAATCCAGAGATTACCGCCTACAAAATCACAAACTCACAAACTTTACCTCTTTATAATATTTAGTATAGTATGTAAATCAAACAAAAACTGCTGCAGAAGTAGCCATCAGCAAAAAAGCAGACAATAAGATGTATCTGAAATTTACAAAGCTTTAAAAGTATTTGTAAAATAGAAAGTGTTTTACTTAGATGAGAATCAATTTGATTAACTAACAACCTTACACACTTCATCTACATCGTTAATATTATTACCATGGTTAAATGTAGGTGTTTATTATATTAATATTTTAATTAATGACAGAATTTAGGTTAACTATTTAAAATGTTCAAAAATTCCATCTTACAACTTGTCAAGGAAAACTACTCTGCAAATTATAGATTATTTTCACTTAAATTAAAAACTGTTATAATTGTTAATAATAATTGTCTACATAATAATTCATTATTCATATTATTAATCGATACGTGATAATAATCCTTACGTATAATAACATTGTAACTAAGCCGAAACTGTACATTAAATATTTTTTGAAAAATCTTATTTAAATAGACATTATTATTGATACATAGGCCAAATCTATAGTTTTTAGAATTTTTGTCTGTATGTCTGTCTGTCTGTGACCGCATCACGGCAATACCAGTGGGGGGATTTTGATGAAATTTGGGTATCATGACAGCTGGTTATCCGGGTCAACATATAGGATACTTTTTATTGCGGGAAAATATCTTACTTTTGAGAAATCTATACTAAACATTAAAACGTAATACGGACGAACCCGAGCAGAGCGAGGGTGAGTCACTAGTTTAGAATAATCCTAAATAGTTGCTATAATTTATAATAAATCTATCAAATACACATATTACTAACAACTTTCAATGTACTCATTATTGTTTAATTACAAAATACTACTTTAATTTAAATAATGTTAAAAAAAACCTTTTCATGACCTTAGTAACTTAGGTCAGTTCTGCAAGAACATTAATGTTCGCACTTCGCGATACTACACACATACGTTCATATGTGCCTGTATATGTACATGCCATAAGTATATACATGGTGCAACTTGGTTATGACGCGGTTTTGTTGAAAGAACTACTCTCTCCTCGTGTCATCTACACATATGTATTACTTTTGTTAAAAAATTTATATACATATACTATCTTATATTTTTTTAGTAGTAGTTAAAGTACAAACGACAATAAAGTATATAAGTAAATAAAAAAGTTATTAGTAGTTATAGTTGAGTATCGCTTTCTAATGGTTGAACTCGGAAAGACTTCAATTTATTTATGTCTGAAATCAAAGGTTAAATCTTGACTTGTCCGTTCTCTTCTATATGCTTTGATATAAAGCAGATGTCATGTTTAGTGTTGGCGGACTTAGACGAAAATGTTGCCACTCGGGCAAAGCGACAGGTAGGGTCTTTTATCACAAAGCTATGTATAAGTATATGATACACTTTTATATTTTACTAGCATTGCAAAAACCAAATTCTTAGGTTTTACATATTAGTATACTCTTACATTGCAGTTTTTGTATTTCTTCTCAAAAGTGAGATATTTTCCCGCGATAAAAAGTATCCTATATATTGACCCGGATAACCAGCTATCACCATACCAAATTTCATCAAAATCCCTCCAGTGGTTTTTCTGTGATGCGGTAACAGACAGACAGACGGATGGACGGACGGACGGACGAACGGACAGACAGACAGATAGACAGATAGACAGACAAAAATTCTAAAAACTATAGATTCGGCCTCTGTATCGATAATAATGTCTCTTTCAATAAGATTTGCCAAAAAATATTTAATGTACAGATTCGGCTTAGTTACAATTGTATTATATGTATAGATTAATTATCAAATTAACTAATTTTATTAACAAAAAAGGTCTTCGAGTGCACAACTTAATTCGAAGAAACTAACTGGACTTTTCTTATATGAATATAATACACATGTAGTAAATATTCGTTAAGGAAACGTTTCAATGAATCATGTTTAAGATGAAAGCGTACAATGTGATTCATTTGTTACCATACATGACCTTATAAGGAAAATGACTTCTAAAGAATTTACTCAAAACATGTCGTTTTTTATCAAATTCACATTATAAACGTTATTATCGCTGTAAATGTGTATACTTAGTTTTTAGAATTTTTGTCTGTCTGTCCGTCTGTGACCGCATCACGGAAAACCACTGGAGGGATTTTGATAAAATTTGGTATAATGATAGCTGGTTATCCAGGTCAACATATAGGATACTTTTTACTGAGGGAAAATATCTCACCTCTGAGAAATCTATACTACACGTTAAAACGTAAGTATCATCCCTAATTACCTTACCCGAGCGGAGTGGGTGAGTCGCTAGTTTATTATAAAATTGTAATAATTAAATGATTACTGAGTATTTACACAAGTATATAATTCAAGAAATTAAATAAAGCTTCACTTAAGAGAATTAAATGTAATTTCATACCAGAAATTAAATTTATTTAGTACATTTTAAACGTTATTACGTGTACAAAAAAAAACTTATTAATATCGATCCAAGTGGAAAGAAAAATTGAAAACACAGACAGAGAAAGATTCTAAAAACTAGATTTCACTTCTTCATTCTTATTACATCATTTAAGAAATCCAACATAGTTACAATTTCAAAACTTTGAATTTTATTATACCAAGTCATAAATAGAAGGTTAATCATTACAAAATAAATTAATCATTCCACAGATTCTAGTATATCCGTAACATAATGAAATAAGAAACGTTTTTTGTCTATTGAGAAAGGAAGCACCATCCCATGAGCATTTGGCCGAGCTATTTACAGCGCGACCGACCGCCTGAAATATCTGGTGTCGTCATAACAACCCGACGTGTGGTAACACTCGTAGTCCTACAATCTGTCAAAAGAAATATGTATATATAATTGCATAATTTCCCTGACAAACACACAATTTAAAAATATACAACCTTAGTATTTAGTTTAAATTTAAAGCTTAAAACATTTTTTTTCCAAAATAAAAAAAAGCAATGGTCACATGTTCAATACTTGCATAAATACAATATTTGCTTTAACCATACAGTCTCCATGCTTCTGTACGTTTGTGATAAGCCCCATAGTTGTGCTTTTAAATAAAATACGTAGAATTATTTTATTCTTTTAAAATACGTAGAATTTATAAATAAAGTATCTATTATGTCGATCTAATTTTTTAAACATTAAAAAAGCTGATAAATGGAAAAAAATACAAGTAATAGCATGCAATTAGGCGCATAATCATTATTTCGTTACACTATCGTTTTGTTTGTGACCTGCCGAGCGTCGACACCTAATACTGTAGCCTCGCGTTTGTAAAATGCCATGTTTGACTTGTGACTAAAGAGGCAAGAAAACCTAGATCTGACTCAGTCGAGAAGAACGTTCTCACACTCTATTTATGTTTTATGGACTGGAAAATTTGATTCAATGATCTTATAGTAAAAATCTTTATAAAAACAACCTTTTAAAAAACTCAAAGCCTACGCAAATACGATAAGAATCTGTCTTACTTACATGTTGTAAATTTCCTATTAAAATCATCGAATAAGCTAGATATTGTATTATTATAATGTTAGAAATTAAAAGCTACTAATAAATAGGTCATTTATATAGAATTCAATACTCTTATGATTTCTTGGATCATTAGAAGAAACGCTAAGAAATGGACAACTTATAAACTGATTCTATATCTCGCCTCTATCGTTTCCTAATCGCACTATTATTACAAATTGAAAAATTTGTAAGTGTG